GGGGCTTGCCAGTTAGGCTAGGCTTGTGGCTAGTGAACTCAAGGAATCCACCTGTCTCCACATCTCTGGTGCTGGAGTTAGAGGTGTATGCACCATCCTGGACTTTATGATCCCCGGAACTTGAACTCTGGTCCTCACACCTACACAGCAAGCACCTTACCATCTCTATAGCTCCTCATCTGCTACTGTTGCATCTTGGCTTTTCCTGTCTACTTAGTGACAGTCACAGAAGTCCTCTTTCTACTATGGATGTCACTATTGTAAGGAGCAGATTTGATCATGAACATGCAAACATATGGGAGAGAATAAACCATTGAATCATAGGTAAAGGAGTTATGGGAAGGACTTGAATTGGGGAAACCAAGGAACTTGGCTTCTGCTCTAGCCGTCTGGCATGACGTTGGGACATTGTCTGGACTCCTGTACTTAAGATAGTCAAACAATCATGTCTTCAAAAAACATCATATTTCTCCTGCAAAAGCCTATTGGCAGTCCAAGCTGACATGATGGCTTCCACCTATAAGGTAGGCCTGGTCTCCATCTATCTTCTAGGCCCAGATGGTCGCTTCCACTCCAGCCTCATCAGCACATGGGAGTCAGCAGAATGGAGCACTGGGGTCAGGGAGGAGCTCCTCTCCATCTTTTATGAGTATAAACCAGAAATTGAACATATAACTGCCATTCAAATTTCACTGGCCAGTATTTAATTATATGACACATGCACACACCTGAAAGGGAGCCTGGGAGATGTAGTTTTTCTCATGAGAAAAGAGAAGAAAGTATATTAAAGAATTACATATGTATGCATTTAAAATAACATTTTTATTTACTTCTTTGAAATTTTCATACATATATACATTGTATGCTGGTCATATCTACCCTAAACACCTTTTTAGCCTCTCTCAAGATATCTTCACATCTCCCTCCCAGCTCCATGTCCTTCTTGACCTACCAAGCCCAGCTAGTACTGTCTACACGTGCGTGTGTGGGGTCATCCACCTACCAGGTCATGAGAAACCTATCAGTGGTCACCTCATCAAAAAAAGTGACAACAACTCCTCATTCCCCCACCTCCCCTCCCCACCCCGCCAGGCCATCAACTGCCAACAGCTCCTCAGCTAGGGGTGGGACTTCAATAGCCCCTCCCACATACATGCTGGGATTTTTAACTGGCTTGATCCTGTGCAGGTAGGTCTTGTGTGGGTAACCAGAGCTGCTGAGTTCATGTGTGCGACAACCATGATATACCCAGAGGACAGCAGTCACAGCTGTTCTCCCCATCCTCCAGCTCGTCCATTCTTTCCACAACCTCCTTAGTTCTGTCCCCCGAGCCTTGGGGAGATGGTCAATACAGATGTCCCATCTATAGCTGAGCACTCACAGTTGCTTGTTCTCAGCAGTTCCAATAAGGATGCCTCTTCTTTGACCAAGGCCGGGAGCAGCACAGATTTGTATATGTAAACACAAATATTAGACATTTAGCAAAACAGCAACAGTAGTTCCCACCCACCCTTGGTGGCCTATGGCCTCTCCAGGCATGGGTTGTGTCTGTTTATAGTACCAGGCATGAATTCCCACCTGAGGAGCACCGCCAACCAGTTTCGCCATAGTGCTTCATTTAGTTGGGCAATCAGCACTCCATTGTAGGGGAAGCTGTAGCCACGCCTACTTAGGGGCTGGCTACAGGTGTGCCTGACCACAAGCCAAAGTTTTTTTCATTTGAAAACTCAAACATTCATTTTATGCTCAAACACAGATGTGTTCATACAAATACTAGGTTTGTATTATAAAGTGAGGGTTTTGTTTGTTTGTTTTGTTTGAGCCAACATCTCAGGTATCCAGGCTGGCTTTGACTTACTATGTAGCAGAGGATGACACTGATTTCCGGGTCCTGTTACCTCTACCTCCCCGGTGCTGGAGTTACAGGTTAGTAGCACCACAGCCAATGCATACAGTGCTAGAGACCCAACTCAGGGCCCCCATGCGTGCTAGGCAAGCACTCTGTCAGCTGAGCTCCTTGCCAACCCTGCTTCTTTCTTATTTTAAATTTTGAACTTCTGATCCCCCTGCCTCTACCTTTCAAGTGCTAGGATTACAGGCCTGCACCACCACACCCAGTTTTCAGAGTGGTAGAGTTGGCACCCTTGGCTTCCTTTAGGCTAGGTCCGTTGAGTCGTTGATAGTTAATAGACCCTCTTAGTGGGTGCATCACGGGTCCTTTGAGGTCAGGTGTGAAGTCTTGCTTACTCAGTACACAATCCCCAGAATGCATTGTGGGGTCTAGCCCATGGAAGCCACCCTGATGTCCGAGATGATGAACTGACAGTCATTCTGGCTTTATGGTTATAATGTTATGGTTGTAATGTCTGCCTCTTTCCAAACTTAAGTTCTTTGCCAGTCCAGGCATTCTGGCTCCATGTCTCCTCAAGTTTATGTGCCAAACCTTTCTGGGCTTACGAAGTAAAATGTGCTCAGGGCCAGGAATCTTTAGTGGGATTAAAAATAAATGAAAGTGTACCAAAACAAGTTAACCACAAGAAATGACTTTGTGAGATGATTAGGCACCAGCTTTGGAGGCCAAGTGCAGGGCGCCAGACTCTCACTGCCAAGCACCCTAGCTTTCCATGCCGCCATGCAGGGCAGAGCACTCTAGGCTGGCTAGAGCCTCTCTTGGCGCTCCACCCTTTAAATAGACCAAAATCTACCATGCACTGGTCAGGAAAAATTCTAATTCCAGCTGTCACCACCTGCTGGAGTGATTCTTGGAAAACTATGCTTCTCTGAGCCTCAATTTCCCATGTAGAAAGTGATTAATGACCAATAAATCTCTAATATATTACAAATACATTACAATATATTAATATATAATCTATTATGTATACATATAATATACAATATATACTAATATATTTAATATATAAAAATGCAAATAGTGGGGACTGGAGAAATGGCTCAGTGGTTGAAAGCACTGGCTGCTCTTCCAGAGGACAGTGAGTTCAGTTCCCAGCACCTACACAGTACCTCATAACCGTCTATAATCCTACTTCCAAAGTCTCTCAAGCCATTTTATGGCCCCCAAGGGTATTTCTTGCAGGAGGTACACAGATGTACATGCAGGCAAAACGTCCCATACACACAAAATAAAATAATAAACTTTTAAAATACAAATAATAACAATGCCTAACATACAGGCAGAGGTTCTTTGTTTTGTTTTATTTTTTTTCAAGACAGGGTTTCTCTGTGCAGCTTTGTAGGCCAGTCTGGCCTTGAACTCACAGGGATCCACCTGCCTCTGCCTCCCAAGTGCTGGGATTAAAGGCATGCGCCACCAACGCCCCGCCAGGCAGAGGTTCTTAGGCATTCTCAGCTTTCCATAGGCCACTAAGGACTTTCTCACTGAGATAGACCCAAAGAAATTCCCAGCACCAATTTATTACAGTTAAATTCAAGTCCTTTAATAATGGTCACCTGAACAGATTCTTACAGATGGCATTGCATCTCCCCCAAGCTTTGGTCAGTTCTGCACTATCTCTGAGTTTTCTGTGGTCCTTGGAGGGACCTTGGCACACAGTTTGGGGTCTGCTGGCAATGCAGATTTAAGGATAAAACAAGTCTGTCTATGTTTTACAAGGGCCCAGAGTAGAACATCAATAAATGGTAACCGTCTCATTCTGAGGTCACCTCCTGTGTCTCCCACTACCACCACACCACTGTATTCCGTCTCCAGCTCCTCCCACTTTATGGTTTCTTTGTGTCATCTCCTTCAGGGCCCTTCCAAGCCAGTAGTCCTATTCTTTTCCACTCTATAGCACAGTGTTTTGCCAAGGTCTCTTTGTAGATGTGTGTACATCTTTGCTCTCAACTTGGACTTGGCTGTGTAGCTCACCTTACCCAAAGGTGTGGGCAGAGTGGCAATGCACCACTTAGGCCAGAAAGGGGCTTCTTGTAACTATTTGCTCTTTTATTTTGTTTGTTTATTGAGACAGGGTCTTAAATAGCCTAAACTGACCTCAAATTCCCTACGTATCCAAGAATGACCTTGAACTTCTGATCTGCCTGCCTCTTCCTTCCAACTGCTGGGTTTACAGAAGAAATAGCAGAACATCAACCAGCAAAACAAGGCTGTTCTCTCTCTGGTTTGGAGCTTCTGCCTGGTGCCTGGGGCAGAACTTGGAACACAGCAGACAATCGCTAAGAGTTTATTGGGAGAAATGATGAAGGAATGCCCCTTTCACAGTATGCTGTGAGGAATAAATGGAGAATCAGGCAGGGATGGATTTGATTGCAAGAAGCAGAGTCCTGTTCAAAAGGCATCTACAGTCTCGCTGACATGCAGATGGTGTTTCTGACGTAGTAAAAGCATGATTTTCAACATCTCCTCTCATTGGCTGCCATCTTATGTTTGCTAGATGACAACTGTAGCTCCAGGCATCACAACCACATTCCAGGCAGATGGAAGGGACAAACAGCAAAAGCAAAGAGGAAGCAACAGTGACATTTCCTAGTTTTTAGGAGAGTGAAGATCTCCCTATGTGTAAGAGCACATTTCTGCTTTGATTTCCCTGGTGGAGAACTGGGTACATGAGCATCCAAGGAGTTAAGGAAGAGGCATGGAAAGTCAGCATCTCTTTATCAGGACTCCACTGATGAGGGAGGAAGGGGTGGGAGGCTGGGACCACAGAAGGGGTATCAAACCCAGAGGGTATGTGTGAACTGCCCACTCTACACAGAAAGCATAAAGAATCCCTAATAGGCCATGTTGTGCCTGTTGACATCACTGGCCTCATCCAGTCTCACAGTCCTGGTGTGCCTGTTGGCATCAGATTCCCTGAGATCCTGGAACCATCAGACATGAAGATATCCATATCCCTGCTTTCTTCCCTTCTTCCTAGTTTTGTTCAAAGCACTGAAGCTTTAAAAAAAAAAAAAAAACCCTATGTTTTCCAATGTGAACCACATCCTGCTCTCACTAACTCCACCCTTGGTGACTTAGCTGACAGTCTGAAGGAAGCTGGTGACTATTTAAGTCAAAGGTCCCTCAGGCTTGCAACCAAGTCATTGCCAAGGACTCTATCAAGGACACTGAAATGGAAAAACCAGAAGAGCCAGCAGTGACTCTTGGGCAGACCCTGGAATGGCTGAGGAAAGAGCTGGTGAGTCTTTTCCTTTGGCTTGTCGTCTCTCCCTATATTTCCCAAGGCTTTTGCGCTCTCTCTCTCTCTCTCTCTCTCTCTCTCTCTCTCTCTCT